GGTGAGCAAGCTAGTGAAACGTTGCATGTGCAAAAGAGAAGGTCCGCACACATCCAAAAACGTATTTTAAATGCTAAATTTAAATTTAAATGTTTTAGTTTTGAAGTGTTGTTGTATGCATTTGTCATTTTTATTTAATTTCTTTTCTTTTCTTAAATGTGTGTATATATATAGTATTTATAGAGTTTTAGCTTTTAGTTTTAATTACTTTTTCTTATTTGTAAGTCGCTTTGGATAAAAGCGTCTGCTAAATGACTAAAAGTAAAAGTAAAGTAAAAAATCAGACAAAAAGGTACAAGACTGTGTACTTTAACAGCTTTAATGAGGGAAAGAACTACAATCCCATGGCATAACCAAATTAAAAACAATGGAGAAATATAAAACTACCCATTTCAATTTGTTGATTGTGAAAGTGAAAGTGACGTGACATGTGGCCAAGTATGGTTACCCATACTAGGAATTAGTGCTCTGCATTTAACCCATCCTAAGTGCACACACACAGCAGTGAACACACACACACCGTGAACACACACCCGGAGCAGTAAAACAGAAACAGAATATATATTAAATATAAATATATTCTGTGTATACAGAAACAATATATTTATTGTAAATTTATTGTAAAATATGCATATATATGCAAATATTTTAGTGTTTTAAGATATAAGGACTCGATAACATCATTTGTTAAAAATTAACTTTTTCTGATTGGTGGAATTTTCTTCACAGCATCAAGCATCTCAAATAACAAAACTAAATTAAAATTTGAAAACAAAACCCAAATCAAATAATAAAAATAATAAGAATAAAAGAAATATCTTCATATAAACGAACTGTGACTATTCTTGTGCTCTTTCCATTTAAAATTAGAGCAACCAATCCAAACAAAGATGCTGAATACATCCAGCATGAGCAGTTTTTGATTTAAATTAGATTGTATAATTTCACAATTTAAAAGCAAAAACAAAATAGCTGACTTTAGCTTTGTGAAACTATGCTACATAAAACATCTGCACGAAACAAAAACAGCAGATGCGCAAATTCATTCTCTGACAGCAGGTGGCGCTTATGGAACAGCAGCTATACAGTGTTTCCTTGGTTACCGCTGTAAACAAAGCAGAGCTGCACTACTTTAATATGCATTATACAGAGGCCAAATGAAAAGAAAATACCATTAAACTTTTCTGAAGACAGTGTTCACCTCAGAGATACATTCATATAAACTCCCGCCCCTGACTGTATCACGATTCATTTAACATCTCAACTGACTTTATTCAACTGAATCGTCACATATTTATAGATTTTCAACCGGCTCAGGGGTGCATCGTTACATCTCTACTTAAAACAAAAGTTGCAATAATGCAACAAAAGCATATACCATCTATTAACAACCATGGCCCTCACAGTAGGTCTGTCTTTAAATCTTTATAAGTTATCGTTAAAAATCTATTTCCCTATGCAGAAAATGAATGGCATTTTTCTTCTGGAACCAGACTGTTGCACTCTATTATCAATGTTGAAAACAGCTGTGCTGCTAAACATTTTTGTTGAAATTGTGATTTTTTTTTCCCCCAAAAAATTCTTTGATGCATAGAATCTTCAAAAGAACAGCATTTATTTGAAAGCTAAATCTATATATGTGTCTATTGTCATTTTTATTCAATTTAATTCATCTTTGCTGAATAAAAGTATTAATTTATTTGAAAGAATTAATCCTACTGACCCTAAACCTTTGAACAGTAACCAACGGCAATGTTGCATAATGAATTGGACAGAATCTGCATTGTGTTTATTTTCATACACAACGACTAAAATTAAAACGTTGAGTTAAAACGTTAAAACGCAGCTGCAGATTTACGCATGTCGAAAACGCTTCTATTCTATTGCAATATAAATATAATATAAATACTATATAAGATACATTTCTAACCTAGTAGATTCCTGCTCTTACTCTGGAGATAATAACTTTTTCCAGGTGTCTGTACCTGGTGCAGCTGTTGCTCCGAGCGCCACGCTGGCATAAGAAGGAGGTGGAGCTTCCGTATCCACCGCGGGGTTGCTGATGCCTGCGACGGCGGCAGCGGCCTGGGAGGATGTGGACGGCTCTGCGCCGGCGGCCCCTTCAGAGGGATCGTCCTCATTGTGCAACTGAGGAAGGATAGAATCACAAAAGTTCAGAGTCAGACTGAAGAATCTTGTCGTTTAATTTAAGACCAATCTGACAAGGTCTTGTGTCTTGCATTGGCTTAAAATGACACCATGATGTACTCAACGAAGGGAGGATATCTTCTAACATTGCAAGGAACACGTCAACAACTTGAGTCAACAACTTGGTCTCTTGGGTCGCTTAACCTTACTGTCCTCGCCCTATGATGAACTAAACAATCTGTGAAGCTAAACCTCAAGAATGAAGTGTTGCAAAGAAGCACTGACTAAAACATTTAGTATTAAAAAGGAGTCTTGAATCTCAATCTGCACAAAGTGACCCGAAAACGTCTTCTGGTAATATGACAGTTTAAGATTGCAGGGAACGCACTTGGTACATCAGAGCGCAATAGGATGCACGGTTGTTTGCCAACAAAGTTAGCTAACAGGTTCACACAGTAACAGGAGAGCGGCGGTAATACAAACCACGAGATCGAGGCACAAGACTGTGCCTTCAGCTGCACCTGTTTGATGTGTCATTAGAAAGCAATCGTCCAAACAGATATGAGCGATTCACCAGAGCGAAATTAGTCTGTTTCACATTTTGGGCAGTTAGTAATAATCCTCATAGTAGTTTTGTCACAAAACCAAAACTTCTGTAGTTCACACCAATGCTAAAATGCTCAGGAATTTAATAAAAAATAACTACAGCAAAAATGCATGTGCTTATCTGCATGTGCTTTTATTTAAAAAGCATTAATATCAATATACCGAATTAGAATTTTAATAGCAACTTTAAAAAAAAATAGCTACTTCAACTCTAAATATCAATAACTGCCAGAAATATTCCTATAAAATTGAACCAGACAGCTCTGAATTCAAATTGTTTTAAACAAATTAATTATGAAATGATCTCTGGGTAAGTAGTCTGGTTTACTACACCACACCTCCTGATAATTGTCACGGTGCGTGCGGGGAGATGAAGCGAGGACTCAATTGCAGGAGAAATGGTTATTTATTTTAATAATAAAAATGAAACAAAAACAAACTCAAACCACCCCGAGGGGGAAAAATAGACAGGCAGGCCTAAAGCTGCACCACATGCAGACACGAAACACACACAATGAGAAATGACGGATCAGCACAGGATGACAGACACCAGGAGAATAAATAGGAAACCAAACGAGGAGGCTAACGAGGGAGACACAGGTGGAGCAACTTAAACAATAACGAGGTAACAAGATGGGAGGGGCCAGACAATAGACAGGAGAGAGCACATGGCAACAGACAAACACAACACAAGCCATGTGCTCCCAGAACACAGTCATCTGGTGGCCCTCCTGGGCACACCCGCTGAAGACTGTGACAATAATATCTAAGGCCTCCCGACGGAGCTGAGAGCCACGGAAGTCTTAGCATAGGTCAATGCTCTTAGGTTCAACTCTGCTATCCTCTATGAAAAGGCGAACAGAAACGGGATTAGATCCAGTGAGAGACAAAGTTCACATGAGAATGATTACACTGTAACATCAGGGCCACATCAAGGACAGCAAGAACGCCAATGGTAAATTGTGCTCTCATTTTGCACTGAGGACAACCAACAGACAACCTGGATTGGCATTACATAAACACAACAACTGCCCAGGGACAAAGCAAGCATCTCCAGTGGTTCGCAGTGGACTGTTAGAAGCACTATCATACTTGAGAAACTCTACATCTTATCTGTGTTATGACTAAGACTGCACAGAATCAGTTTGATAACACTTTAAAAAGCCTTCACTTGACAATGTCATTTAAGCTCTTCTCAGCAGAAATATTTGGACCAATTATTAAAATGTCACTTTGGTTAACAAGTTCCATACAAAAAATAGAGAGATGCATTGGGATTTATTGGTACAATATCAATTTAGATATTTATATTAGAGGGTTTTTATTTATCGGTATACATTGAATCTATATCGGCTGATACTTGATATTTAATTGTGCATTTCCCCAATTTTTAAATTTTATTCATTTTTTGGGGTTATTTTTTTCAGTGTTTGGGTAGTTCTTGTGTTAGCCAGCTCCTGGGTCAAATGTAACAACCCAGTGTTTGGGTTGTTTTGCAGCTCCTGGGTCAGACATAACAACCCAATGTTTGGGTAGTTTTTGTGTTACTCAGATCCAGGGTCAGACGTAACCCAGCGGTTGAGTTATTTATCGCGGGGATTTTGCGTCTTCTCTTCATGAGAGAGCAGTTCTAAGCACCATCGAATTGATGCATTCTTCGGTATAATACAGGTTTGTGTACATTTTATTTTATCTATAAAATCGTTACTGTGCGCGTGGTGTGAATCACCTTTAACGAGTGTCACGGCCTTTTCGTGTGATGCTTTGCATAAAATAAATGATTTTATTCATAAAGATACAGATTCTGTTTAATGTTGAATTTTTCTTCTAATGTTTGTTAAACGAGTTTAAATATAGGCAATATGTATAGCCTATTAAAAACGATATAAACAATGCTGTAAATGATAAATAAAGGAAAATAAAGGAAGTTATCATGCAAACCAGTGGTTGTGTGGAGTATTTTAGAAAAGTTTAGAGGATTTAAATTAATCTGTAAACATTATGTAATGTATGAAGTAAAAAATAAGCTAGTAATATAGTAAAAATGAATAAACCCATTAGCTGGGCTAAATCAACCCATTATGCTGGGTTAAATAAACAACCCAATTTGCTGGGTAAATTTAACCCAAGATGGGTTCTGTCATGGGTTCTGTCCCAGCCCTTGGGTTAATAACAACCCAAATTGGGTTGTTTTTAACCCAGTGTTTTTTAAAGTGTATATTTGCCATCTAACACTCACTTAGTCCGTTTTTTTACTTAATTCTTAACAGTGTTACTAAATAACTAATGTAACATTTAGCAGAAATTAATCTCAATCTGAATATTTCTAATACTGTACATTATAATGTTGTGATGCCAAAATTAATTTCAAATGATTTCAGTTTTAAAATGTAATTTAAAAATGCATTTATTGAGACAAAATAGAACATAATTTCAATCAGCCGTTTATCATTATGAGCCATAACATTAAAAATAATTATTGGTTTATCATATTTTAATGTTGGTGTATCCATAACCAATATTTAAATTTCATACAGATATATTATATTATATTACTGTTTATTATTTTATTTTATTTGAAAAAGTCCCCCAAAAAAAATGGTTTAACATGTTGGCCAGCATTTCGATATCACTGCATTCATAAAAAAATAAAAATAAAAAAAAGGCAATGTGATTTTGTTTTCGAGTTTAGGGAATGTCAGGAAAGTCTTTCCTGCTGAAAATGTGTTTGTTTTTTAAAATATTCATTTAATGAGGGACAATAAATACACATTAATAATACATAACATGTAAAATGTATCAGATCTAGCCAAATTGGGCAAATTTCATCCATAGTCCCTTGGTAGGTTGATGTTAAAGACAAATCACTGTCTACAAAGCTTAAAAGCTTCATAATTTCCAAACAAAGTCGTCACACCACATTGGTCTGACAGAGAAAAGATTTCAAAACTGGCTTCTCGCAGAACTGCTGAAGAATAATGAAGTCCAGTTTAAAATTGCACAGTTGCATAAAATAGCAGTTCTGCAGTGTACTGACTAATGACAAGTTCAGAGCGACAAAGATAAGTGGGAGACAGTGATATCATGGTACAAGTATAATAAAATGGATAAAGATGAAGGAGAGCTCGTGCAGTGAGAGCTGAGCTATGAAATAATGCAGGAAGAGACTTCTGAGAATGGTTCATGTGGTGAAACCACAACCACCTAAATATCGATTTACCTTAAAATGGAAAAAGCAGCTATGCTTATTTGTTGACGCATCTAAGAAGCGCTATTCTGCGGTGGTTGCTATAGCAACATTCGAACATGCAGCGAGCTCAAAAAAGTTTGTGACTAAGTGAGCTGGGGGGTTTTTTCCCCTTCCTAGAAATGATGAAAAGGCTTCGAAAACACACAGAGGCCTGCTGGATGAATTACTCAACGCTCCAGGAACTTGCAATTGCTGTGCTCTTCTTTGAAAATGAAAATATATATCAGAACGTTCTCCTTGTTATTGACCAAGACCTTCAGAACAGAAAATAACAGGGTTTTTGATGAAACATACACAATAATATTAAGGCTATACAATATTTTAGCCTTATTCCCTGTTAGATAAACATTTACCAACAACCTCTGAAGCTCAAATCCAAAGTCTACAATATGTGCTGTGTGTAAATACTGTGGTATTTACATAGCACTACACTCCAAAAACCATGTCATTACCATGGTAATTCTTTGTAAGGGATATAATTTGTATTGTCTGCTTATAAAATATATTATATTCTGAGATGCTTCACATAACCATTCCCAGCTGAGCAGTGAGCCACCAGATTTCCATAATAAACAAAGGCCCTGGATCCAGATCACTTACGGTTCAGGCCTGCTCTATTGTTGAGGGTGGAAAACACACACTCACAAACCTGTGATTATACCACACTTGTGTTGTTTATGATACAGCAGAAGGTTGTGACTACAAAACCTAACCAAGTGTCATCCAAGAGTACAGGACATTTGCAGCCAACGCACACAGACCTGACCCCTCAAAATGCGTTTAAATATCCCAAAGACATCTATGATGCATCAAAATGCCGTTGAACACACCCAAATGTACCAATAACAACACCCAAACATGATTAAAATGCTTTAAAACGTTGTCGAGCATACCAAACTACGATGCCTTCAAAGATAATAAACATGCCTCAAAATGTGTTTACATGATCTAATGGCTCAAAATACATTTAAATGCTTAAATGTTCCACATGGGCCTATGACGGCCCAAAATGCATTTAAAAATTTTTTTTAGGATTACTGATAAACTACTGTCATTTGATTTGTATTATGTCATTTTTATTGAATTAAATTTTTTTTTTCATTTAAATGTTAAGTTTTGCAATTTTGTTGTATGCATTTGTCATTTTTATTTAATCTCTTTATTTAATGAATGTGTATAGGTAGTATTTATAAAGTTTTAGCTTTTAGTTTTGGATCTGTTTTTAGTTGTTTTAATACTACAATTGATTGCTTCTGTTGTCCTCATTTGTAAGTCGCTTTGGATAAAAGCGTCTAATAAATGACTAAATAAATTTAAAAAAAAATTTAAAAAACAAGCCTAATGACTAAAAAGTGTCTATGTGGCCTTTTAGCTGACAACTCAAATTGCACTGGAACACCACTGATGCTTTAAAATGTGTTATAACGATTGCGTCAACTATGCCACAAAAATAGTTTTGAGCGCCCCAAACATATCTATAACTGCTGAAAATGCACTTATGCCACTTTAAAAAGTTCCATGATTACCTGTGGCCACTTAAATTGTGTTGGAACGCCCCAGTGGTGCCTCAAAATGGAATGCCAAAACGCATCCAACTTCCCATATACGTCCGTGACTATTCAAAATACATTTGAACTCCCCTGAAAGCGTAAAATGTTCTGAGTGTACATGTGACAACTCAAATTTAGTTGGAACGCACCAGTGATACCTCAAACGTCAACTCAAAATGCACCCAACGTCCCATACATGTCTATGACGCTTCAAAATGCATTTGAACCCCAAAATCTTACAAGATTCTGTGTGTACCTGTGAAAACGCAAACTGCGTTGGAACGCACCGATTATACTTCAAAACTGAACGTCATAAAGCGCCCAACGTTCCTTTCTGTGACGCGTCAAACTGTATTTGAACGCCCCAAAAGAGTGCACCTGACTGCGTTGGAACGCACTAGTGATGGCTGAACGTCAAAATGCGCCTAATGAACATTTCAACGAATCAACACCAGCTGTAAAGCCTCAAATAGGGCCTATGTATTTGTCGAACGCACCTGTAATATGCCATAAAATGTTTTAGAATATTTTTATTGCGACAAAACATCTTAGTACAGTATGTTCTTAGAAAAACAACATTGTGTCCCTGTTGAAAAAACCAGCATATGCTGGTTAGGTATGTTTTGAAGCTGGGATGCTGGTTTGAGCTGGTCCTTTGCTGGTTTATTTATGCTGGTCCTTTACTGGTTTATGCTGGTCCTTAGTTGGTCATGTGCTGGTCCTAAACTGGTCCGTCCAGCACATGACCAGCAAAGGACCAGCATAAACCAGCAAAGGACCAGCATAAACCAGCAAAGGACCAGCATAAACCAGCAAAGGACCAGCATAAACCAGCAAAGGACCAGCTTAAACCAGCAAAGGACCAGCTCAAACCAGCAAAGGACCAGCTCAAACCAGCATCCCAGCTTCAAAACATACCTAACCAGCATATGCTGTTTTTTTCAACAGGGGTTTCTATGGTAAAACTGTATCTATTGTATTAAAAATAATAATAATAATGTAATTTTTATTACAAAACACTACTGGTACCGTGGCTACTTTATCAGATCTCCAGCTTGGTAAGGAACTGTTCAAACAAGACGAGTTCCTGAGCGATTTTTTTCGTTGCGTTCTTGCGTCTCCGCTATTCGTTACACACATATCAGATGAACGTTTTTGGTGTTTAATAAATCGAGACTCTCGGTTTTATTTTTAAGGGAAGGGAGAAGGGCATTTTTTAAGTTAGGACGACAATATAAAATGAGCTCAGCTTTGCAAAGCTTCCATTCAGTTGCACGCCGTTTAGCGGATCTAAACGCCAGAACGCGTTCTGTGTGAACTGACGCGCACTTTGTAGCGGTGAAGGTGTGATGATGCGGAAGTCATGAATGTTTAAAGGGAATCGGACAAAATGCCAGTAATCAGCAGCTCGGGTTTGTCAAGTCTATTGTATAACATGGGGTGTTTGATCGTCTTATATAACGATGGCTGAGTTAGACTTACCACTTGGTAGCGGCTCGCCGCCTGGTCCATTTTCATATACGGCCAGCCCAGTCAGCGGCGAATAAAACCAGTATATCCTTGATTAGTTCAAATTAAAGACAGCCCTCGATCTTACTTGAGATCATATGGCACGGATCAGTCATATACGGAGACTGTAGTAGTTTTTCCCATTCACACAATAGCCATGATTTAACGCGAACGCTGATGCAGATGTAGTCACGTCCTAAAGCGAGTGGGAGGAGCTGTCCATGACGCAAGCGTGACGTCGCACTGTGCGCGTCAGACTCTTTTTATTTAATAATATACAGAGATCGACACATATAATTGTATTTGAAAAAATGGTTATAAGTGCTATAAGTAGCTGTTATATTCCCACCAGGTATACCCAAATGTTTCATTTTCATGCAAGATAGGCTATATGTACGTGACAGACTGGGGGGAAAAAAACAGGTTTTTTATTTTTATTTATTTACATATTTTTCAGTTTAATGAATGGAGTTTTGGAAATATAAAATAAGCCATTGTTGTAAGGGTAGGCCTATATAATTATCATTATATTTTTCATTTTTATTCTTTTTATTCTTTTTTTATGTAATTCGAACTCTGTGTGTTTTTGGAAAAACTGACAAAAGTTTACATCCTTTTCCACTTGAATATTTGTCCTTGAAATGTACTGTGCTCCTCAAGGTGACCTGACAATAAATGTTGTGTAAACATCGCCCTGTATTAATTTGAGCATACTGATGGCACCGTTAATTCACTGAACAATCTCTATCCCTGTGTGGTTTTTATCTTATCTGTCAAATTATAAATGGAAGGTCAAAGTGACAACAACTGTCAACAACTACCAGATTGCAGTTCTGAAATCAAGCAAGCATGCATACCTCCATCTACTGGACAAATAATGCAAAAATTTTTGGTTATTTTGAAATATGACTAAGAATATATGCAATATAATAATAATAATAATTATTATTATTATTTATTTTTTTAGATTTAAAATTCGAACAAAATTCTTTGAAAGGCAGCGAAATATCATTTACAAATGTATTTGGGGAAAGCTGGATAAAAAGTCAATACATTACAGTAAACAAGCATACAAATAAATACATACTATCTATAAATAAAGTATTATATTTTATTAGCATACATTTATTTATTATAAATATTATTTAGAAACACATAAAATATTTTTAAGTTCTTTAAATTGGTATAAGTTTGAGTTCATCTGATATATCAAATGTGTTTTATATAAAAAGGTCTGAAGAACAATAGAACAGAATAATGTGACAGTCACAATATCAAAAGAACCATAGATGTAGCCTATATAAATATGTAATTTATCTAAATATTTTTCAAAGTGGACTATTTAATATAATCACCTCATCATGTGTAAAAACAATATGTTCAGATAATATTCAGTGATGTAGTGGTATGACACGAGTGATAAAAAAAATATGATGTTTTTTAGAAGAAGGAAAGTAACATGATTTAAAAGCAGCTCAGCTCATGGCTTTTAGCACACTGTTGATGTGATTTCTTTTACAGGCACTAGAGGGCCACCTTAGGCAGGGCCATAAACATGACTGCTGGTTGTCATGCAATGAAGCTGTGCCAGATCCAGCAGTCTAATAAACGAACAATACTTCTATTGACTACCATTTCCACTAGTCTGTTTACAATAAAATAAAATCACTAATACGAATCATATAATATGTATATATATATGTGTGTGTGTGTGTGTGTGTGTGTGTGTGTGTGTGTGTGTGTGTGTGTGTGTGTTTTCTTTCTTTTTTCACAAAAAAAAAGAAAGAAAAGGAATGCTTTAAAGTGTATAAATCCCAGAGGGGCACAGATACTGGGGTAAAGGTAAAGACAAAAAGGACATAGACAATGATATTAAAATAAATAAATAAAATAGTATATGAAATATATGCTATGTGCATTGAAATATATAGAATATACAATGTGTGAAATAATCTATACCACATTAACCAAATAAAAATACAGAGTACCCTGAAAGTGATTCTAAAATAGAATATATATATTGTTTTAAGCTATATATATTTAAAATAATAATAATAATAACAATAATGTAATTTAATGTTGTTCAGTTATAATACATAATACAATAACTATCTGGCAAAATATTTAATATAATGAAGTAATAATGAGTAATAGAAATAATATATATTGACCTAAATTATTTTCCCTGAACATTTTTATAAAGTGTTGTTGTTTTGCATGGTCTTGCTTTATTTTGTGTCTAAATATATTGGCCTACATAAGCACAGGGAGTTTTGCAGGAGCGTCAGGTTGCCCCTCCTCTGTGCTGCTGTAGGTATAAAATCAAACTCCTGTCAGTGAGACGGTGAGACTGTCTCACTCATACCCCATTGCAGGTACGCAGTGAGAGTGCAAGTGATCTTCAGACTATTTTCCTGGCAAAAATCCCCATTCTAAAGCAAAATGGTGAGTAGAATATTATTTGTCAATAGTTAATTCTATTGTCCTGTAAGTAAACATATTGAGCAATCACATCACGCACATATTGGGTCACACCAAGCTAAGAATATATGCACGTTTTTGATCGACTTCATTGCGTGTAATGAACTTTAATAATATATTAACAAAAATAACTGGAAATGGAACTGAATTTGAATGCACTTGATGACTCATAAAATATAAGTACATACAGTAGCAGCAAAATAATGTGTGTAACCTTTGAAATAATTATGGTCAAATGTTTATACAACATACAGTATAAAACCACTCCTAGAGGAAATAAGCATTTATACAACTGGACTTTTGACTCAAAATCTTGAGATAACTATTGTGACGACTAGCCCCAGTCTCTTCATATAACTGAATTTAGTCTGTCTCTTTAAAAGTGGCTACTGAATTGGATGCTTAATGTTTCATTTGACTGTTTTATATGGCATATTATTTTTATAGCTAGCTGTGTGACCATACTTTACCACCACTTCATATTTACAGTATGGAAACTACTGAGAGCTTTATGTCTTAAGTAGTGCGGTTATGGGTGTGTTTGTGATTTTACTGAACGCTGATGTGGCTCTCAGCATATCTGTGTGTGTCCCACGATCCAGATGAAGTCACTGAGCTGTTCATGCTGGTTGAAAATATGTGAAATAATAATAAGAGAAAGGTGCATACTCAAAGAGTAAACTTGAGCAGTAATGAACTAGAATTGTTGTTACACCAAATACACAAAATAATTATCTTTAAAAAAGCATCATATGACCCCTTTAAGATGACATCACTGGGTTAAATGTAGGCCTATAGTCAATAGTTTGTGAATCTTTTAGAATCTCAAGGTTTGATTAAATGTGTGAAATATTGTGTGCCGAGGCTCATTTAAAACAAACCTGCATTTTAAAATGGATGCATTGCCAACTCGCCCCCAGTATACAACTAAAACAGTGTTGTAGGTCTCAACGCCTGTTTTTGCATGGAAAATATATTAGAACCACATGTGTAGGAGTTTGTTTTGTGCTAAATTCCAAGGACAAATGGTTCTCACATTCTAAAGGTCCCAAATCACACCCCTGAGGCCTTTGTGTTTGTCTTTTGGGTGCTTTGGATGCCACCACGACCTTTAGAAACATTTCACAAGAGACGTGATTAATTGTCATCAACCTTAATATCTTGCAAGCTGGCTGTCTAAAACATGATGTTTGCGATGTGACATGTCTATTTTATTTTTTAATATCTCATGAAAAGCATTTCTGGTTTTCTTCTTTACAACTCATGAGGTAATTCCACAGTAAAGTTAACGATTAACAAACTTTAGTCTGTGTCATATCTCACCTTACACTTTGTAGCCATAAGTCACTTATTTGCTTTTTTTTTTCAATCAAATTACACAATACGGTTGAAGGTGGAAACATATATAAATTAGTGAATTTGTGCATTTTAAGATAATTATTCCCATTTTTTAAGTCAACATAAATTGACAAGATGTGTTAAGAATGTAGGCTAAATGCTTAAACTAAATATAGGGTTAATTTTGCTGTTATAATTCTACAGAAATAATAATCATTTGTAACCATTCATCAGCATGAAATAGCTTGCTCCACCCTTTAAAATGATTTTCTTTTTTTCACTGACAATACCTAGGACAAGTCGATTATTATGTTAACAAATAGGCAAGCAGCTATTTGGGCGTTGTTTTAGTAAACTCCTATTCAGATCTGGCTCTGTTCTGATCAATCCAAACAGTTCCCAAAGAATAAAATCCCACTTTCAATGTTTACGCTATCAAAATATGTTGCATTATAAGAGTAAAATGGATTGTAAATACTGTTTCATGTGTAATTCTATGCCACTAGCACAACCTAATGGAATTGCAAAAATAATGATTGTCTCCAAACAGGTTTCCCAAACACATTTATGGCATATTTAAGTCTTAAAGAGGTTTTAAAAAGTCTGTGGCCATACATTTCACTTTCCATGTATATATATATAGAGAGAGAGAGAGAGAGAGAGAGAGAGAGAGAGAGAATAAGAAATTTATGAGGCAGCAGAATCTGCAAAGTAAAAAAAAAATGCTGGAGGACAAGATATCAACTCACTGTGGGGTAAAAAGATGAGCAAAAAGGGCTCATGCCTCATGGGTTGGTGTTGAAGAGTTTGGTGGTGGAAGAAGAGCTAGTGGGGAAACATCACTTGTAACAACCCATAAATAACTTCTAACCTGGCTGCCATACCCAAACTAGGCAGTCCCATGTGCCTGTGTAATGCACCATCCCCCTCACCACTGACTCACCAATAGACAGAGTCGGACGGAGAGTAAAAATAGGGCCCAACCCCAGGAGAATGAATTCAGAGGAAGAGTCATGCCCACAGAGGAGAGGCAGAGTCTGGATATTTCTTCTCAGGCTGATGTAGGCCACTTCTCTGGAGCGCAGACACAGATTTAGGGGCCGAATCATTACAGAGCACTTTTATTGCAACCATGTGACTCTTCTTTTGCATTGGTGTCCTCACTGCTTTGATAACATAATGGCAGTACATTTTTGCATTTGGCAGATACTTTTATCCAACGTCTTTTGCATTTTATCAGTTTATGTCCTGGGAATCAAACCCATGAGTAGAGATACAGAATCATACCTTCACATACTGTATACAGAATATGTCAAGGAATATTTGATTCTGGAATTCTACTACTTTATTCTTATTGGCCAATCACAATATTCTGTCATCAAATCTTTTGAATGACAGC